TTTGGTGGCCACATCAAATACTAGGGAGGTCTAATTAAACACTGACATGGTACCTAATTATTTTAAATTCGAAATTATTGAATTGTCTGCATCTTGATTGGATCATAAGATTGATTCTACTGTGACCATGATCGTAGCAGAGGCAGGGTCTGTGTAAACATCTTATTGATCAGAGCTTTGAAGAAAAATTACTACACGCCAGGAGCTGAGTTAAAGGACAATATTAACACAGATATTTAATTTCATTTATAAGAGCTTTGAAGAGTAATTTAATTTTTGGCGATGCATTGCTCCGTTCAGAATATTACGTACATTCCTGTGCCATTATTGTTGCTAGCAAAAGAGACAGTCTAATGCATGGTAGTAGCAAACTCTAACGCAGATAAGGAAAACATCACTGAAATTAAAGAGGTGTTTGTCAACATATATGACTGTTTTCTAAATAACATAAACAATTGCCACACCAGCAAAAAATAAAAATGACTTTGCTGATGTGGAAGTCCATATTGGCAAATACCAAAGCTAAATTAATTAACTAATTGCTCTGCTGATGTTTTTGTTTAATTAATTAAACAAAGACATATTTGAAGAACATAGAATATGCATGTACAACGATTCCATTAAAATCATATCCGCCTATTGATAAGCTAAGAAGGTGAAGAAGATACTAGCTTTAAAAGCAAATTCGGATTTTGCAAGAATTTCGATTGCTAAGGAAGTGTTCAACAATCAACAATATGGATTGCCACATCACTAAAATTATATTGTTTTTTCTTGATGTGGCAGTTGTTTTGTTTTTAACAACAAACCCAACCATATTGTCCAAACACCTGAGCTGTTCCATCATATGGCGAAAATATGTGGTCTGAACAAAGCAAGATCTATGGACACGTGGCATATTTCATGACCACTCATATATGAGTTTATTCTCTGACTAGGACACTTGGGCTCAAAGTAGTTTGCCACATTATCGGAAACCTGATAGCTGTAGTTAAAACTTGTATGAACAAAAGTTGAGCCGGGGACATGAGGCTAAAAGGAGGGATATCTACTAAAAAAATGTGGGAGATATGTATTTGGGGCTGATCTGATCTTTCTGGTAAATGGTTTCAATTTGCCACGTGGCCATCCATTTAGCCACGTTGGACCACGAGTTCAATTGAATCACAGAGAAATTAAGCATAGCAAGGACAGAAAAATCTGTAAACACTATTAATTAATTTTGGGAATTAGGGGGTGGGAGTCCAAAGTATAGACGGCTTTGAAACGGGGGGAGTCATTAGTCAGAGGGGGAGCTTGTAATACACAAAAGAAGGTTTGAGATTCTAATCTCCATCAATCGATGCATAAAGGAGGGTCATGATCACCCACTCCAAAAAGGCAGGGTTGGGAGTAGTGGAGGTCATTCTGCCATGTTAAAAGCGTATCTGTATTGGAAGCCACCCCCTCTGCTACCGGGTCCTCTTCATGGATGACGGGGATTCTGAGGATATGTTGATTTTGCTTTGTACTTCCCCCCCTCGATTCACTTCTTTCTGCTTTTGGACTGCTATTTCTGACGCTTTGGCCTCTGGAACAATTTCCAGGTGCCACGTTAACCCTCTCTCTCCCTCTCTTTTCATGGAGTGTAGATTCTAGTATTTTAGCTCCAAGCAAAAACTGTAGGTTCAAGATCTATGGAAGTCATAGTGTTTCTTTGATTGAGAAGATAGATGATCAATGGGCGTTTGCTTTTAAGAGGATTTTTGGAAGGAAATATATGATTCAATTGATGATTCATGGTCATAAATAAAAATTTATTCATGGGTTTTTCTTAGGTTGGAAGATAATATAATGACATTCCTTATTTTAAGGATTTATCTCCTTTTTAGTTTTTAATTGTAAAAAAAAAGTCCTTAAAATAAGGAATGCCAAATGCAACTTTGAGTTGATCAATTCCTCTATCAAAAACAAGACCCTTCATAGTTTAGCAGTTTTCCCATAAAATTCGAAGAGTGAGAAGTTCAGGATTTATTTATTTTTGTTTTAGATGTATGTTTGTTCATACCAAATCAACACACAAATGCAAAGTATGCGGGGAAACTCATAAGTCTCAGTTTAGAAAGATTACAAATACATATAAAATATAAGATTTTGCACTTCACATATTTGTATTTGTAATCTTTCTAAATTAAGTTTTAAGAAATTAGGCTCTGTTTGTATAAACTTTGGCTTTTGACCATTGGGCTGTGAAAAATAAAGTTTAGCCAAAAAGTGTTTCGAGCATGTGGCAGAAAGTGTTTTAGTCTGAAGCTAAAAACATTAATTCTTAAGCTCTGAAGCAAAAAGCCTAAATTGGGGCTTTGTGCTTTTTTACTTTGAAAGCATAAATATGCTGAAGTTTGTCCAAAGGCAACGTTAGTTACCCAAAAAATAGTGTTGCGTTGGACATAAAATTATAAGGAGAAAATTGTTACTTAATTTTAAGTTTTAAATAGGATAAAGAACAAAAGGATGACCTGAGAAAGCCCTTCCAAGATGATAATGCTGGTGGAATTAAATAGAATTATTATTTTTTTTCAGATTCTCTTAAATCTTAGAATCCATGAAAAGTAGTTGAGCTCAGAATTGAGGTTAACAAGAATAAGAACAAAGAATAATAAACATTCCTCCTAGGCAGACCGTGCAGGTTATCACTATTGCCAATACTTTTCTTTTTTTTTTCTTTTAAATTGTATGTACCAAGATTATCATGAGCTACAAAAATGAAGTCCATAATAATAATAATAATAATAATAATAAAAAAAAAAGGTGATCATCTAGAAATGTATGTGTGTTTGTATATAATGAATGCATTTATACGTGTATACGCAATGCTAATACACCCAAAATGGTCACATTCATGATTCTACTAATTCTTTGCAAATAAATGAGTTATTCTGATAGTGCGAGAAAAAGAAGCCATTTTAAGTGAATTAAATATATATATTCCAAAATGTAATTACAACAAATACGTAAAATGTGATGAAAACACAACTATGAAGTATGAACCTTCGGACGAAGCCATGGGAGGGTGAAATGGGCCATGGGCCCATGGCAGAAAGAGTATCCTATAAACCTAAACCCCCTTTCCCCAATCGGCCCACCCCCTCCCGACTTTTTTTGGCAAACCCTTTATAGGCATTATATAGGTTACATAGCAGGGGACCCTACATACCTTGTCAAAGAAAAAAACTTATTTTCTGTGACAGTGTGGCCCCTGCCTCTGTTGAAACAATGAACCCACTGGTTATTCAAGGAAATATTGTGCTTCTCGTGGCTACCCGCCAAAGAGAGAGAAATCCTTGTTGCTCGTGAAATCAATCGCCTCCTAAAGAAACTTCCATCTTTCAGTCACCATCTTAACAATTCATGGGACCAAGTGACCAACCGCCCATTTAAATTTCATAACTATTCTGTTGTTTTTATTGAGCTTTTGTATTTTCCTCTCTTCCATTGAACAGAAGTGGCAAGTTTTGTTCCTACTTCCTATGCATCTTTGATATTTATAAGCAGCAGGGGCATATAAGAAATTTAGGCAAAACCTGAAACTATATTAACCAAATTGAGTTTTTTTTCTCCCTTTATTGCTGAACTGAACAAACAAAGAAGAGGACAATTCACAATTGATTGAAAGAAAAACACATACGTAGCCCTACTACTGCCCTAGTCCTGCTTTTCTTTATTTTTTTTTTCTCAATGTTGAATCAGGGCCCCACATCACATCTAGTTTTAGCTACTCGTATTGCATGCTGACTGGCGGGGCGAACAAATCCCTATTTTATATTTATTATTGTTTTCGTCGTCTGTCTCCTGCACTTGGAAAATGACGCAAGCATTAGTCTCTTTCTCTTCTCCAACTTCGCTGAGCTTTCTCTTATTATTGTTACTTTTTTGGACTTTGGCTCGACCCCCAGCTCTTTGTTTAGCCTAATGATAAAAGGATGGGTAACAACCAGTTGCAGATCAGAAATGAACCATTGAAATGTTGGCTCAATTGTGGTTCAGAACATCAATGCATGTAATGTTGAAATCAAGAAAAGGCCAAGCTTGGCAGTGCTTAAAAATAAATAAATACTTATTTTGAGCTAGGACCACACCAATTAGCAATTATTGGTGTTTGGAAAAAATAAGTATTTATTCAGGAAGATTAAATTCGTGTTTATTCAATAATGGCTTATTGTCTTGGCCTGTCACATTATTTTTAAAATACCTATATCATTCCTATTTAAAATAATTTATTTTCACCAAAGATTCATGAATACAGAATACTTATTAGAATAAGTATTAATTCAATAGAAAAAATCTATGATATATATGGAAAAGGCTTTGATCAATCACAATCCTTATAAATTTGATGAAAACTACTTTTATTACGCTGGTTGATTGATTGTAATTTCTTTAGTATCATGTCTTTTCGTCATCATAATCTAACCCTATTCAATGAGCACTCTCAAACTTGCCAAAGTCTTTTATTAAAAGAATTGATTTAATTAGAACCAAACCATCATTGAACCAGCTCGTGTAGTGGCCAACCATGGTTCAACCCAACATCAAAACGACGAGCCAAGCCACAAGCCAGGAAGCCCACATAGTCGTGTAAAAGGCCTAAAAGACGTACCTTCAATTACAAGCTTCCAAGGAAAGGAATGAAAGGGCCCCTCACGGCCTCATCACTCACCAATACACACCATGTCATGGTTGCATGCATCCATCATAACATCCATGACCATAAGACCATAACCCATGCACGCAAAGATAAAAAGCCAGCAATGATAACGACGAAAAGCCCATTCCCATTTCCAAACTCTAAAACCGCAAGAAAGAAAGAGGGAGAAGGAGAACTCAGAAGGACTCGCTACGCTAGCCTCAACAGCTCTACCCTCTAGGCTTGCTTTTAATTTCTTTCTTCTTCTTCTTCTCCTCCGTCATCGGCCAACGCCACCTTCTGAGCCGCTTCCAGACCACCGCAGAGCCAAGCCATGAAGAGCCCCGTCAACATCCCCACGAACCATCACTTCCTCCATCAGAGATCGCCTTCCTGCAACGGTAGTACTGCAGAAAATAACACTTTCAACCAGCCCGCCGTCAGCAGCACTTCTTGTTATGAACCTACTTCGGTTCTCGACCTCCGCCGGAGCTCCAGCCCCGTCGCCGCTGTCCCAGATTCCTTTAACCCAGTCCCGGCCTTCTCCGGCGTATCGTCAGAGGAACCTTCTTTTCAGTGGGATGGCCATGTACTCCCGTTGTCATCGGACGACTGGGATTCGATGATGTGGGCTTTGGAGGAGAAAGACAATTCTGCCCCTTTGTCCAAAAGTCTCCCCCAATTCGGTCCCCACGGACCACAAAGCCCAAATTTTTCTCACCTCACAGCGCCCGATTCCTTCTTCGGCTCTTCGCCTCACTCAGTCCCTGCTTTCAATCATCCCTCCGCCGCCTCCTGGAACCACAGTCCGACTTATTTCAATCTGTCGAACAATTTCCACCAGATTGGGAGCAACGGTGGAGAGGGGATCGAATTCGATTGTTCACAGTTGGATCAGCTCTTTCAAGCTGCTGGGTGCCTCGAATCCAACGAATCACAGTCCGCGCTGACGATATTGGCGCGGCTCAATCAACGGCTGCAATTTCCAATGGGAAAGCCGCTTCAGAGAGCTGCGTTTTACTTCAAGGAAGCTCTCCTTTCGCTTCTCACCGGCTCCAACCGGATCGACTGTTCTCTCTCTTCATCCGAGATAGTTTACAAGATCAGAGCCTATAAGGCCCTCTGGGAAATCTCTCCCGTTGTTCAGTTCGCGAATTTCACCGCTAATCAGGCGCTTTTCGAGGCCGTTGATGGAGCCATGTTCATACACATAATAGACTTCGAGATTGGGCTCGGAGGTCAATGGGCGTCGTTCATGCAAGAGATCGCAAGCAATTCCAGGTCCCGTAACGTTCCTCCCTCGTCTCTTCGAATTACTGCTGTTGTACCGGAAGAATCGTTTCCTGAGGCGAACCTGATAAAGGACAATCTCTGTCAGTTCGCGCGCGAGCTTGGAATTCGATTTGAAATTGATTTCGTGATCATTCGTGTTTTCGAGGTCATACTGTTCGACTCCATCAAGTGCCTCAATGGCGAGATGACCGCCATCAATCTCTCTCCAACGATTTTTAGATATCTCAATACTTCCAGCTCCATCCCAGAATTCCTCCGAGTTCTATCACGGATGTCACCTCAGATCATTGTGTTCGTGGACGCTGATGGCTGTAGAGATACCGCAACGCCGTCGTTTCGACGGAATTTCATTGGCGCGCTTGAGTTCTACACTTCGGTACTAGAATCGCTCGACGCGGGTAACACACGGGGCATGGACGTGGTGCGAAAGATTGAGAAATACTTACTTCGCCCGAAGATGTTGGCCGCCGTGGACGCAGCCAGATATCGCATGGCACCGTGGGAGGAACTATTCGCTCTCTCCGCACTACGGCCAGTGCGCTTGAGCGAGTTCACGGAAACCCAAGCCGACTGTCTGGTTAGGCGTTGGCAAGTCAGGGGGTTCCGCGTGGCTAAAAGAGAGTCCACCATGCTGCTTTGCTGGCAAGGGAGGGAACTCCTGGCGACGTCGGCGTGGAGGTCCGGCCGCTGATGCATATTTTCCGACTCTGCAGACTGCAGTCTCCCCCAACCAGCAAATTCAAGTTGGGTGGGCTTCCGTTTTTTTTTTTTTTTTTTTCCTGCTCTTTTTAGTGATAAACGGATGATGTAGAACTGTAGATGGGTCTTTCGTTCGAGAAGACGATGACTAACGAAGAGTTCTCTGTATAACTTCGTTGGGGAATGGGGAACGAAATGTGTTTATCCTGAATTCTCATGGATCGATCTTTGAACAGAATATGTGTTATTATTATTATTATTATTATTATTAGAATTTTCTTTGGTGCCATGGTTTGGTGGTTTCATCACTTCTTCTGGTTTTCTTTCTATTGGTTGTATCAATTGGCATTTCACACGTAATACTACTGGTTCGAACTTTATGCTTCGTTTGGCTCGGCCTAGCATCAGAACGTCGGGATTGTGATGGTAATCATACTCTGGCTGGCGAATAGGATTGGAGATATTCATTCACGTGTACATGTCAAAGGTGTTTGTCTCCACACATATATAGACATGCTCGCACACAACAATGAATAGATTTCTGTTTTTGGTAATACAATGAATTGATTTCTACCAAATCGTAATTACTTCTTTTTCAAAATATAATATGCATAAGTGCATTTCTTCATTGCATTTTGTTTTTAAGGCTGCGTTTAAAACCTAAAACATCATCGGTGTAAATTGATGATGTTTTATATTGAACCATAAAAAGTAACCATTTGAATTTCGAAAAATGTGCATGAGAAAAGCGGAATTTTATATCGATTTTGTCATGTAATATTTACATTGATAATAGATGCAAAACTTTGCTCTAGTGGAATTTATTTACTATGTAAAATTCTACTTTATTCAAACGTACACAAAATTGAAGTAGAGTGGAATTTCCGTCAACACTCCTTCCAACCACCAACAAAATTTAACCAACGTAACTATTTACATTGACGACGTTTTACATCAGTTCCAAATGCATCCTAAGAGATTTGAGATCCCTTGCCAACAAAATATGTTCCAACTAGACCTATTCATGGGTTAAGTAGTCCAACGACCCGGCCCAGCCCTAGAATGGGTTTGAACAAAATTTTTTGCCCGCAAGCTTGATCTCGGGCCTAAAAGCCCAATTTGATTATTTTTCGGGTCGGGCTTGAGATTTGTTAAAAACGCACAGTCCAAGCTCGGCCCAACCCGACTTTTATAATTTCTAATTTTCTAAACCCTAAATCCCTAATCTTATTGACCCTTTCCCAATTTCCCCATCAATCTAACGTCTCATTCTCACTCTCAGAGGTGAACTCACTCACTCAGGCACCGGTGCCACCGACGATTCCTCTCTCTCTCTTTCTTCGGCGGTGACCAGGTTCTCTCTCTCTCTCTCTCGCTATCTTTAGTTTTTGGTATGTTAGTTTTAGTTCTATTCGAATAAAGTTTTAGTTTTCATATCAGAGGAGAACTTAGGCATTTTGTTAGGTCGGGCATTGGGCTCGGGCCCAGGCTTCAGGCCTTTTTTTTATGAGGGCCAGGCTTGGGCCCAAGTTGTAGGCCTGTTGGTTGGGTTGGGATCAGGCTCGATCCTAAAAAAATTCTGTTAATGAAGAGTAAAAGCCCGGCCTGACCCGACCCATGAACAGGTCTAGTTCCAACACCCTACCAACTTGATCACTACCCATCTTACTATCAAATTGGGGTCCACCATAAAAGTAGGACATGAGATGTAGGGTGTTGGAACTTATTTTGTTGGTAGGTTATCCATACTCTTTTTTAGGCAGCCATAATCCATGCCCCTTAGAAGTTGACACGTGGTCAAGTCAAGGAGAAGGCTCGTGTCTTAGTTTTAGTTCTGTTCTAATAAAGTTTTAGTTTTCATCTCAGAGTCCCAGTTCTCACTCTCAGAGGAGAATTCAGACATTTTGTTAGGTCGAGCTTTGGTCTCGGGCTCGGGGTCCAGGCTTTTTTTTTATGAGGGCCAGGCTCGGGCCCAAGTTATAGGCCCGTTGGTCAGACCAGGCTCAGGCTCAGGCCTAAAAAATTTCTGTTAACGAAGAGTAAAAGCCCAACCCGATTCATGAACAAGTCTAGTTCCAACACCCTACCAACTTGATCCACTACCCATCTTACTATCAAATTGGGGTCCACCATAAAAGTAGGACATGAGATGTAGGGTGTTGGAACTTATTTTGTTGGTAGGTGATCCATACTTTTTTTTAGGCAGCCATAATCCATGCCCCTTAGAAGTTGACATGTGGTCGGGTCAAGGAGAAGACTCGTGTCTTAATGAAGCCCAATTGACGGGTGGACATGTGGTGAACATCGACGGGCGACTAACCGATGCATTGTCTGGCCAGTCTAATGGTTCAAGCTAACCATTCCACCAATAGTGCTGAACATGTCAAAGAATGGCTCGACCTAGGACTTTACTAGGAGACAGCACGTCCTCACGAACGAGAAACACAACGGGCAGTCGAACACGGAACGCCTATACAAGGGAATGCTGCCTCTGACACTCTACACCCTCTAGTTTTCTTGCTCTATTGTTCTCATAAGCTTTTAGCTCACCTCCTAATTTCAATTCTCTAGCTTAGCTTGACCTAGTCAACCACCCTCTGTATACTGACCTAAGTGTCAAAAAACCCCTCTCAAGAATCACCTTGAGTTCTCTGACCATTCTTCTGTCTAAATCTTGTGAAAAATCTTCAGCTCATCCAGATCACCAATTCAAAGTTTAAAGTATCATCAATTTTGTTACTAGCATATCCAAACTCCAAGGTACTCAATACCAAATGGCCACAAAATTTTCAATAGTACACAAATTTTTGTAGCATCTATTTTTAAGCCAACAAGTATTTAGGAAGTTGGGTTTATTATGTGGCTCTCGCATGACTACAAATAATTTTGTTATATGCCTAGAATGTTCATCAATTGGACCACCTATTTGGTAAAAGTTTATTTCTTGAATGTTAGCGTGAAATGGAACCTTAACACAATATTGGTTGCATATGCATGTCCATCGATTGGGTGTTTTCATGCATACATTCAACGATTAAAAGTTTTCCAGCTGGCAAGAGTTAGTCCGAGTTAGTCAAGCTCGATCCATTTTCAACAATTCAAGCCTAGTTTCAAATGCTCAGCCTAGGCCAACCCACTTTATTATTCATTTCATTCATGCCTCACGATCTTCTTTGCTAGGCAAAATGGCTACAGAACGGGCTTTAGTTGGTTCCTACCATTGCTTGGACTAAAACGTCTGAATCTCTTGATTTTTATCTAAATCCCAAATCTGAAGCCCTGAACACTTAATTCTTAAACTTTAAACCTTAGAAACCTAAATTCTAAACCCTTAAGCCCTTAAAGCCCATCCTTAAAACCTTTTGGGTAAAATATAAAAACCTCCCATGAGGTTTCTGACAATCATAAAAGCCTCTCATGAAGTTTCATTTTAACAAAAACCTCCCCTATAATTTTGAAAAATCCTACGGTTACCTTTCTTTCGTCATTGTCCCATTCAGAAAACGTTGGCCTAATGCATTATTTTTTTTTGAAAATACCCATTTCACCCTTGTATCTATAATTTGGATAGAGATTTACTATAATACTCAACAAAAACTAACAACTTTTAACTAAAAAAATTTCCTATGTCAGATTAAAGAGTAAAGTAACTTAATTTTGTAAATTCATTATGATTGAGTGAAGTCTAAAAGGGCAAATCTGGTATTTTGATCATATAAAAAATTTTCCTAATTAGTAAGGGCAATTTTGTAATTTCAAAGTTTCTATTATGGAGATAATAATGTTTTTTTTTCTTGATTATGAACTGAGACAATGATAGTAGGGAGGTAACTACAAGATTTTTTTAATCTACAGGAGAGGTTTTATGATTGTCAGAAACCTCAAGGGAGGTTTTTCTTTGTACTCGAACCTTTTTTTAGGTTTCCTATTTTCCTAAACCTTAAACCCTAAACCTCGATTCAAACCTTTAAACCCTAAAGTTTAAGAGCAAAATACATTTCTCACTAACCTTTAAACCCTCGATTCAAACCTTGACCCCTTTTTCCCCAAAGTACTGATGTGAGATCCGATTCTGCATCAACGCTAAAACAAACCAACTAACACATCAACGAGCCAGCCCTCATAGAAGTGCAAGTCGGACCCTGTTTAGGTCAGGTAAGGGTCAACCCTAGCCCCTTCAAAATTGAATCCTAACCTAACATTTGGTTTGGAATGGCCTAACTTGTTCTTCTCTTCTTTTTTGCTTTAATAAAAATATTCTCATTTACCAAACTTAGGATTAATTTATTAGGTTTAAATTAGTGTATATAAAGTTAAGTGTTTTAGAGGGGTACTTTTATGTTATAATGATTCCAACTAAAAGACAAATCTCAGCCTTTAAATCTAAAATTGTTGATGCATATCATACATCATAAATAGATACACACACTTTCATACTTACATACACGCACCTAAACTAGTATCAGAGCACGTGCATTTTATGCGTACAATGACATAGATAATAAAACAAAAACCAATAAAAATATAAGAGAGTGGGCCCCATTGCCAAAGGGAGTGAAGATAATATAAGGAAACAGAATTTTTAGAAAATAAGGGCCGGAAGAGAAAGTGGGGGATTTTGGAATTTTAACTTTACAATATTTTTGAACAAAAATAAATTAAAAGAAAAAGCATTGGTAGGGGCATGTAATCAACATTAACCCTAATTTAACCTTAACTCATACCAACCCAATTTAGAAGGTGAAGTTAAAAGGCCTAGGTTAAGTATATTATTATAGGTGCAAAATCTAACCGAGGCTGGCCTCGGCTTGGTCCATGATCACCCTAGGCATTGTCGACCAGACTATAGAGTATAGATGATGGGAAATAAAAAAGAGGTGGCGAAAGGAAGTGAAGATATATGGTTGATGGGATGTTTCTCTATAAACTATGGTTTTTATAGGGTTTTAAGAAATTCTTTTTAATTAGAAAAAGAGAAATTAACAAAGCGTG